GCTGGACTGCAGGCTGCCCTCGTGTCTTGGAGCAGCTCCGGTTGTGAACAGTTGTTCTTTGCTTTTAATTTGGATGAGCTTTGCTTCCTGCTCCAGGATGTAATATCATGTCCAGTGTCGTGGCGGGTCTGTCCCGGGAAGCTCTTCCCTCTGCTAACAGGGAATGATCACACTCCTCTTCTGGTAGACTTGTCCATGAGCCCAGAGTATTTGGTGCATCTCAAGTGGTAGTCTCCTGCAGGTCAAAAGCATTTGGGTGCAACTCTGTTTGTGGATGCTCAGAGTGGTGCTGCATCAGTTCAAAAGAGGGAAAAGAAAAAAACCAGAAGAGCCAGGTGTTGCATGAAGTCAGGGAATTCAGGAATTTTCATCTGTCCTGCAGAAACACTTGATCTTCATATCTTTGGCTTGAAGAGGGGAGGAGAGGTCCTTGGGGCCAAGAGAATCCCATATCTAGAGTTATCCCTGCAACATCATCCTGACTTCTCTGAGACAGGACAAGGGGGTTTTGCGTGGGTTTATTTTCATCTTAGAAAACATGGGTCTCCCTTTCCTGCCATCTTCTTTCTCTCTAGCCACGATGCATCACCTCCCAGGTTTGTGCAGAGCCCGCTGTGACACTGGTGCAAGTGTGCAAATGCTGGTGCTTGCTTTGATCTTGTTCCAGGGGTGCTGGCAGAGCTTGCAAACTGTGTTTTGAATCAGTTTGGATTCACATTACATTATTTCTGGCTTGGCTGAAAGAATTTTATCCAGATTCAGCGCTGTCGTCTTGTGTCAGACAGAACATACTGTCCCGCTTTGCTTCGCATCTGGAGGGAGAAGCTTGCAAAGTCATTGCGATGTCCCCGTTTCCTTTGCCACCGGCGTGCAACTAAGTCGCAACCGTCCCTTCCCTGCACTTGATGCGAGGGCTGTAAAAACATGCCTCTGCTTTGAAAAAAAATAACATTTTTGAAGAGTTTGAGACGGCGATATTACAAGGGGGGTGACAAGGAAGTGTTTTTTGAGGTGGAACCGAGGGAAACAGGTAGGAAGTGCTTCTCGGGCTGCCAAGGGAGCCTGGGGCAGAGCTGGGAACTGGTTCCCAGTTTAATTGTTTCTTTCCAGCATCACCCTTCCTTGCATCACCATTTGAGTAACAGTTCATATATGTGTATAAAAACAAATTTTTTTTTTAGTACCTTTCTTCTGGCGGCATATTCAAACCATTCTCCATTTCTTCGTTTTTATAAATATATACGTGAACCTCTCCCCGCTCTTGCGGCAAAGATGCTTCTCGTGCCGCGGGAAGCTGCAGGTTCGCAGCCCCGCTCTGCGCACACAGCACGTCTGCAGCTTTCTGAGCTTATTCCGCTTTCATATCATCGCGGTAAAAGCTCCTCGTTTCCCCCCCCCTTTGCCTTTCCCCCCAGTGTATGTCCTGTCGAGTTTGATTTATAGCCTTGAAAAGGAGACTCTAGTTTGAAGAATTAATGGTATTTGCATATTTTGTTTGGAATCTCCCCCGGCAGGCCCGCTGCAGCCCAGCGCCGCTGCGCAGGCAGGTTTTTCCTTTCCCTTTTTTTTTTTTTTCAGTCGTTCAGATTTAGCAGCAGAGGTGAAAAGTTTAAACAGTAAAACCAATAAAACCACATTTATGTGACAGATAAATTGTTTTGAGACAGCTTGCCCTGAGCCGTCAGGCTTCCTCCTGCAAGACCTCTCTCCTACGGAGCACGACCCGCGGCAGAGCCCTGCAAGCGCCGGCGATGCCCTGCACCGCATGGCAGCTGGGGGCCAAAGGTGCCAGCCCCGGCTATCCTTGGACCTGCCTCGCCGGCAAGATTGATGTGGGCAAACAGTTGTAAAATACACAGGCTATCCGTCACTGTCGTGAGCCAGCCGGGGGGAGTCTGGCTATCCCAGTGCTCGGGGAAGGTCCAGCCCAGGGGGGGAGCGGATTTAGGATGGGGCTTGTTTAGAATCACAGAATCGTTTAGGTTGGAAAAGACCCTTAAGATCATCGAGTCCAACCGTTAACCCAGCACTACCAAGGCCACCACTAAACCATGTCCCTAAGCACCACGTCTACCCGGCTTTTAAATCCCTCCAGGGATGGGGACTCAGCCCCTGCCCTGGGCAGCCTGG